AGGGCAGTGGGGGAAAGACTGTAACAACAAACTGTGGACTAAGGCTGCAGGAAGCCACACAGTCTGCCTGGCTCTTCTACAGGACATACAGGTGACTCACGTGCAGTCCCTAGTTAGTTAGTCTCAGAGCCAGGAGGAGAGCCCAGGTCTGGTTCCTGAGCCCTGGTCAAGACTTGATGGCCTTCTGCAAGTTTTAGTGAAAATTCACTAAAAACAAAACAAAACAAACCAACAAACCAAGATCATCCATGAACTATTATTATGACAATAAGTTTTATTGTATGTAAATTTTAAAAGGGAGGGGGAAAGTACTTTTGTGTACATTATCTTAATTACAGAGTGGTTTGTAAGACTTTCTTTACAGAAAAAATTTGAGCTGCTTAGCCTTCTTTTTCACAAAATTGGCATCTTTCTCAATGTCAGTTTTTGCTTTTTACTTTGTAATGTTCCTCCCCATCATTTCCATCATCTCACAATCTGTGAGGCACAGGTAGTTATTATCATCCCCTTTCTACAGGAAGTACGGAAGTCAAGTAGACCAGGTTCAAATCCCAGCTCTGTCACTTGCCACCTGTTGGCTCAGGCAGGTTAGCGCTCTGCGTCTCACTCAGCATTAAGTGAGCATGGCCACAAGACCTTTCTCACTGGCCTGCTGTGGGTATTGAGTTTAATGCAGCATTTCCCAAACATCCTCCGTGAGAATCCTGTGGGTAGTGGTTAAAACACAGAATCCCAGGCCCCAATCCAGAGTCACAGAATCAGAATTCCCACGGGTGAGGCCTGGTAGTCTGACAGGCCCCAGGGACTTTCATCAGGGAAATTTGGAAAACACCTGGTGGATTTCTACAGAGCACTTAGCGTTGTATGGCACTAAGGAGTACACATTCATTGAGCACTTCCATGTGTTCAACCTTTGGAATGGGGATAGAATGACTACCAGATAGGGCCATGATGAGAAACAAGCAATGCCCAAATCTACGATGGTGCCCTCACTTCATTGCATCCATCAGGACTCTTTCAGGTTGAAACAGGATCGTCCAGAGGCTCTCTGTCCAGGTGATGTTGCTTCCACAACTCCTGGCCTCCATCCTCCCAGCCTGGTACCTTAATAGGAAGTTTCTCCTTTCAAATTCCAGGGACTAAGCCTCCTTAACCAGTTTGTGTCTCAGGCCCTTCCTTGTACCAGTCACTAGGGTCAGTTTGGAGTGTGCCGATTGCTCAGGACTAGGTGTGCCCACCCCAGGAACCAGACAGATGGTGGTCAGCCCCATCTGAACTTCAGGAATGGGGATGGGCCATATTCACGTGAGTCTCTGTGGTGGCTTCCTGTAGTGTTGTTGCCAGACCAGAGGAGCTGGTGCTTGGTGGGTAACTCCACAGATGTCCCTGCATCGGCTCCCTAGGCCACAGTCAGCAGTCTGCAGATGTCCCATCAGGTCTGAACCTTTCTCCAGCCTCCCCTGCTGGCACATTCAGAGCCTGCCTTGTGGGCCACAGTCAGGCTGATTCAGTCTCAGACCTGCCCTCATCTGTCCAACCATCTCCAGCCCTCTCCTTGCCCCACTCACCCCTGGGCCAAGCTTGCCACAGGGGCCTGCCCAAGGGCTGGTCCAGGGACTCAGGGACACCATTGTCTAAAGCTGCTTACTAGGGACCCACTGTGGGAATCCTTCCAACCATGAACAATGAGTCTCTGAACCAGGATAAAAACAGCCTTTGCAAGTCAGCAAATGAGACAAACTGAATTGCACATCTCCCTTCCCTCATCTGCCTGGCTTTTAACACAGTGGGTAAGAACAAGTTCTCCAGTGTCAGACACAGGCTTGAGGCTGAGCTGCCATCTACTTGCTGGGCGAGTCATCTAGCTTGTCTGAGCCTTGGGTTCATCGATGAAATCTGTGTGAGCACAAGGGAGGCAATGGATAAAAATTATGACAGAGAGGGAGCTCATAATCTAGAACTAGCATCGTCATTCTCTCCAGGAACTTGTCTGCGTCAAGAAATGCCCTTCTCAGGGATGGCTAACCAGATACCACTAAGAAGCCAAACCGTGAATACTCAAAAATATAGGATGCACTCAAAAGCCACATAAAACACACAGATACACCGTGGTGCTCGCTGCGTCCTGCCCACCCAAGACCTGGCTGTTCTTCCTGGAAGATACTATACTGTGTATCTTTTGATTCTCACGAGAGCTGGCCTTCTGCAACCATACAGTGAGCCCTGTGATAAGGTGCAGAAGCCCTGGACTGGGAGTCCTGGGCTCCAGGATGGGCTCTGCCACTGCTTTGCAGGGTGACCCTGGACACATCACTTACCCTCTCTGGGTTACTTTAATGGCCCTTTCTTCTCAAGGGTCCATCCTATGGCACCTGCTAGCACTTGGTGCAGGAACCTCTCACCAGAGGTGTGCTGGGCAAGGTGAGCAACTGCCACAGCACAGCTGGTTCATTCGGATGTCGCAGGGAGCAGGAGGCACTCCAGTGTAAGGTCAAAGGGTTGGTTCTGGAACCACACACCCTTGGTTTATTCCTGAGGCTCTTCTGGCTGTGACAAGTCAACTGTACACAGGGGAATGGCACCTACTACGGAGGCTGTGAGGATTCAATGTGAAGAGATGCTGCCTGTAAAGCTCAGTACCTGGCACACAGCTGAGGCCAGCTCTCCCTAGCCCCAACCCCCTGCTGAGCTTCCTCGTCCTCCCTGCCACTCATGACTAGGCTCCATAAAAACAGTCCAGACCTGAGGCTCACCTTGGCTCCATTCTTCTTAACTGCAAGCCATTGGACCTTGGTTTTCCTCACCTATAAACCAGGTAGGAGACTATTTGGGCGTTGATGTGGGCATTATGATTCACAGACAGGGTTTCCCTCCTCCACTCCCATCAGCATTAACCCAGTTGTCATCCACTTCCCCTTACACTTTATAGAATTTACTTCTGTATCTGTGAGTCAACTGATCCTTAAAACCTCCATAAAGGGAGCCGTGGCCAGAAAACCTCAGGGCTCCCAGGTTCTCTCACCAGCTCTGGGAGGGACAGAACACACCTGCCTCGCTCATCCTCACCCCAGTGCTTTACGCAGCACCAGGGCACTGGGAGGCCACCTCCTCGTCCTGCTCATGGGGTCAGGGGCATCTCTAAAGGAGAGTGCAGAGTCCCAGGGGACCACCCAGAGGCTGGGGTGAGTCAGTCTCCCCTGAGCAGCACCTCACCTGCTGGAACCGCACAGGAACTGGGGCTCACAGAGGTGGGGAGCAGGGTGGGGCGGGTTCAAGGCTACAAGGCTGAGAATGAGTATGTGTTCTCACGTATGAACTACCATGGAACATTAGTATAACCCTTCTGGAAACCATGGAACCTTGCACACAAGTCTTACAAAGGTCAGCCTTTGGTCCAACAACACTACTGCTAAGCATTTGTTCTAAGAAACCCACAAAAAAAGTGTAACAGAATGTCCACTGCAGTGGTAAACTGGAAATCACCCAAACATCTCACCATCTGGTTAGGGTGAAGCAAGTCAGAATAGTTAATGGACCACTACACAGCCTTCTTAGATGGCTTCCAAAGACTCTTTAGAGGTAGAGAGAATTTACCATAATAATGGTTAAGTAAAAAAGGGACAAAGTTGCCTTTGTATTATTCCTGAGGTTTTAAACATCTTTTCTTTTTTACAGTCTGAACACCACAATGAAAAAAATATTCAAAATAAGGTCAGGTCCCAAGTTGGCCTAACTTTTTGGTTTGTTTCAGTGTTTTTTAAAAATCTTTACCCTTTTACATGTTTCCCCTCAGAAAGGAAGCTTTGAGTGAAAAAAGCACATCACCAAGTCTTGCTTTGAGACCCAAAGCGTCCAAACTCAGTATCGGGTCACATTTCCTACAAGAAAATCTATTTCATCAGCTAGCAGGTCGTCTGGAATGCATCTTAGAAAGACCAATGGCCTGTTGGACTCAAAGAAGCCATCCAAAAAAATTGTATAAAAAGATTTATTGAAATTTATCAATGACAAACAGACATAAAACTCAAAAGTTTGGCTCTTCTGAGGGGGAGGAGAGAAACTGGTGCAGATGCTCTTTGTACAGATGAGACTCGGGCTGGGAGACAGCACGTCACTTCTAAAGCAATCCAGAAGAGGGACATGAAAGCAAACCTGTACATTCACTAGGAATTTGCAGTCATTTCAGATTTCCACTAGGTAAGAAAATACAATTTGCGTTAGTTTTTCCGTGCTCGGGTGTATGAAAAAAACAAACAAACAACCCAGCCGACATGCAGCAGTGTCTCCCGCACTTAGGTCTGTAAAAATGGTCTAAGCACAGAAGCACACGTGGAAGAATTCTCTTGCCATTTTGTAAAACAAAGCGTTCTAATATCTTACAGAACAAGATAGGGTAGTTCTTAAAAAAATCTTTTAAAGAGGTTGACGTTTAAGGGTTTGCTTCTTCTGTTTTAATTATAATCACCAAACCCATTTTACTCATAAACCCTAAGCCTGCTGTTTCAGCTCTCTGGCTCGTATCATAGCTCGTCAGAGTGACATCAGAGTCTTCTGTGTAGAACGAAGCCCACCACCATCTGTGAAGAGGGAAAGGGAATGAGAGACGGGGACTGTCCCCCAACCAGTGCCAAAATACGCCTTTAGGTTGCTATTTAAAACCAGGGCGTTGGTTGCCTGTAGCAGGCCGGAGAAATGCAGAAACCACGAGAACCAGAACAAGAGGTAAGATGTGGCTGGTGCTCAGCCCTTCCTGGGCTTTGAGAAACCAAACTGAGGCCAGCCATGGCCTTCCAACCAACTCAAGAGACTCAGGAAACACCAGGAAATGTTTGAGACCTCCAAACCGTCCTCTGAGAGTAAGGAACAAATGCTCACTTGGTGTGTACTCAGCTATTGCAATTACAGGGACAAAAACAGACACAAAAAAAAGTAGGGGAAAAAAATAAAGAGTGGCAGTAAAAATAGTATTTTATTCCACCCCCTCCCACCCACCCTCTCCCCACAACCCCCAGTACACTTTTCCCCTCTCGTTCCCACAGCAACGTTACAATCAGAAAAAAATAAGTTTCGGGGGGCGGGATTTTGGGGGGGGGATACGGGTAAAAACAGTCAAATCACAATAGGAATTTTTCAAAATAGGTTATCCACTTAGTCATCATCTTCTCCCTCATCTTCGGGTTCTCGTTTTCGCTTCTGACCCCTTTCTTCTTCTGGAAGAGTAAAGAAAAGGATTCAGGTTAAACACTGGTCCTAACCCTAACAGACCACCCGCTGGAAAATGGGGCCATACATCTAGGAAGCTGTGCCATCCTGGTGCTCTGACGCAGGACATCTGCAAAGCCAGGCAGGCACCTGTGGCCTCAGATGGCCGTGTTCTGCCCATGGCCAGGTCCTCAAGGTCTACACAATCTACGGTCAACCAAAGGGGCCGGCTGCTACAGCCAAGAGTAAAAGGGCTGTCATACCACCGAGATCTTCTTCATCTTCCTCATCGTCTACTTCCCCGTCGTTATACCCTTCTTCATCCTCCTAGGAGAGAAGATGCACACCACGCATGAGAGATGCCTCCGGGGCCCAGACCTGCTGAGGAAGCCACTTTCCCTACACTGACCTCAAAAGATGGCCTCTCAGAGCCCACACTGGGACGCACGACCTCAGGATGACTCTAAAGCGGACTTCTTTTGCATCGAGGACCCCTTTAAGACTCTGTAGAAAGCTTACCCTGCCCTAGGAAATACCCCTGTGACATATATTATGTGCAAAAAATGTCAAGGGGGGTTGTGGGTTCTACCCCCAGGTTAAGAACTCCTGACCCGAAGCCCGACAGCTCAGGCAGCTCTCTAAGCTGCCACTCTCGTAGGAGGAGTTCCTAGGCTGACTCTGTCATGCAAACTAGGCCATCCTTTCATCTGTCCTCAATCTAGTTTTGGCTTCAAGGGAAGACCCCAGTTTCAGCAAGCCCAGATTTTGTGGGCAAGTCCAACCTCACCCTACCTAGCCTGTGTCCTCTCGCAAACCTGGACTGCTTGGAGGGGAGGATAAATTCAAGGACCCTGAGGACATCACCCAGCTCCTTGAGATCCAGCAAGATGTGTGACTTCAGTCTCAACACAGGACCCTTGCTTTGTGCTGGTCCACATGTTAGATGCTAGTTACAGCTCTGTATGTTGAACACTGCTGCTAAGACATTTGGCAGCCTATTGTTTAAAAAGAAGTTGGTGATAGACTTCTTTTTGTCAAGGGATATACCCTTTTGTATGTCACAAAAGAGTTCCTCAATCAGTCTGTTTGCTGAGACTGCGTGCGTGCGTGTGTGCGTGCGTGTGTGCGTGCGTGTGTGTGTGTGTGTGAGCTCTCCTTTACCGGAAGCTGGAAATCTGCAGATGGTCAATGAGATTACACACACCGCCCCACCCCCACCCTGCACACTGCAGCTCCTGTGACAGGAAGAGCAAAATGAAAAAAATCCATTAGTCAAAACTACTTACTGCCCTGCCCTGGGGTGGGGGGCCTGTTTTCCTAAGGTGTTAGAGGTGAGCCTAGCAGCCCATAGTGGGAGAAGGGAAGCCCCATTGCAGACCGGGCAGGAACCAAGCCTATCTCACTGGCTCTGCTCGTCACTGGCACCTGCCTGCCTCTCCCAAGCCTAGGCCGGGTGGCTGGGAGATCCTGCCCAAGCAGGTCTGTGTCTGTGCGCTCCATCCAGAGACAAAGGACAGGGAGAGAAGCCAGGTGCCTTGTCCAGGCTGTGATCATTTTAAACCAACTTTGCCAGGTCTAATTTTTGTAATCAGCAAGTAGGCTGTTGTAGAATTCTGAATAACCCGTGGAAAATGACTCCGGATACACAGAGAGACTCATAACACCCAAACACAAAACCCAGCTCTCCGAGCCAGCATCCTGGAGAAGGAAGGGTGTGAAAGCCTAAAATGGTTAAGTGGTCAAACACCTTTTTTATGAGACACCGTCCTTCAGCATTTTACTTATAAATTATCCTCTTGCCAATCGGGTGAGTTGATCCCTATTTATAACTCAGATGCTTATTTCAGAGATGAAGAAATGGGCTCAGAAAGGTCAAGGAATTTGTCCAGCAAATTCCCGCGCTGTGGACACGTCATAGACCTCGTTGGAAAAAACTAGGACCCAGCCAATGAGTTAGGAAAACAGCACTACTTCCACCGTGTAGTGGATCCCATGTCACTCTGACTTGGGATCCAGCAGTGTCTTCCATTTGCCCATCAGTCCCAGGCAGCCTTTGATTTTCCCCTAGAACACTGTAAGCGCTCAGCGACTTAACGTGTGAACGCAAGAAGGCAGCAATGGGACATGGGTGCAGTAAAAACTAATTTTTACACAGAAATGAGGGCCAACCTCAACCCAGCAGGCGAGGTCCCCTCTTCACCTGCCTCCAGAATTCCCTCTTACCCCCTCCTCATCCAACCTCACAGCATGTGCTGCAAGTCTGGCCTCTCTCAAACCAACCCAATAAAAGGCCCTGAAACAGACCCATGTCCCCAACCAGGGCTCCTGGGCTGCCAAAGGCTGGTCACTGAGGCATTTAGTGGGACTGACTCAGAGGCACCAAGTAACAGGGACTCGGGGAAATGGTACCCCCAGCCAGCCCAGTCACTTACTTCTTCCTCTCCACTCACATCCTCCTCTTCACCTTCTTCTTCCTCTTCCTCATCCTCCTCGTCTTCCACTGCCTGAGCATCCTCATCATACTCTTCCTCTGTGCAGTGAAATGGGGAAAGAACAGAACTGGTGGTGAGCTGGCTCCTCCCTCGCATACCACAGCCCCCAGGCTGATGGGCCCTCAGTGGGGAACCCGAGACGCTCACAACCCCACCCAGGCCCCAAACCTGGATGACTCAAGGTGGCTGAACACAGCCTAAAGTGGTCCGGCTGTTAAGCCGTCCTCCTCCTCAAGCTTTACAAAAAACGAAAGATCTTTTGTGGAGGTCGAAACCACAGAGAAATTGCCACATCAGAGAAACAAGTTACAGGGCCTGGGAAAGCTGAGAAGTCAATTCATTTAGAAAGAACATCTAGCAGAACTCCTCACTTTATAAGGAAGATATGTAAGGCAGAGGGAAGAAGTGACTTGTTCAAGGTCATGCATCAAATTAGTCTGAGCTAGAAACTCAGTCTTAGGACTCCAGTCCTGGGTCCTTTATATTGCATCACTAAGGCAAACAAGGTGCATGCGCATCTTACAAATTACTCTCATCTAACAAGGAAAAACAAAATATTGTATCTGAATTAATTGGGCAAGTGTCTCCATTCTCAACTTTACTCTGGCCATGAAGACCTGCAGAAAGCCACACTATGCTGGTGACATGGCAAAGGAAGAGGAGGTGCCCTTTCCTTTTCCTTCCTGCAACCCTGGCTGCTCACCACACTGCCAGGGAGCCAACGTGCTACCCGCAGGCTCCACTGCCAGGGCCCCTGGGGATCCCAGGTCCACACCCTGTAAGTCCTGGACTGTGGCCCTGTGGGCTGCAGCCACCAGGGGGCCCCACAACCTCTCCAGCCCTCTGACTGGACGCCTAGATGCGGAAAGAGGACCCTCAGACCATATCCCACCTTCTTCTATCGGCTCACCCCCTCCCTAGGAGCATCCAAGTCTAGGGTCACACTAGGGAGACACTGTAGAATCTCATTCCCAGTGGGATTTGGAAAGGGGGTGGGGGAATCAAGGTGAAGATTCACCTAGATGGTTTTCAAGGAATTACAGTTCCCTATAGTTAGGGTCTCAGGATGCTTCTCTGAGCCTCATGTGATTTTAGGAGACTCAACCAGTTACATAACTAGGGGCACTGGTAAAGAGTCCCTTCTACAGCTTTGGAAAGAGGCTGACAGCCATACTCTTCAGCAGCCAGTGGGGGCCTCCCAACACCCAGGCCACCCCTCTGCCACCCACCATCCTCCTCATCCTCATCGTCGTCCAGGCCCTCTACATAGCCCTCGGCGTCTGAGTCCGGGGCCTCCTTGTCGTCCCGGTCGTAGCCATCGAGATATGTAAGTTGTGGGAGGAGCTTGAACACGTTTTCTCGGTAGTCGTTCAGGTTGGTTACCTCACAATTGAAAAGGTCTAAGCTCTTGAGGTTTTCTAACTTCTTCTGCAAGCAGAGAAATAAAGTCCACAGTGAACGGTGTGTGGGAGGCAGGGGAGGAAGAGATGAGGAAGGTGCCGGGGGCAGGGGGTGGCGGAGAGAAAACAGCCCGGGGAAACACGGAGGGACGAAGTGGGACAGCGTGAAGAACAAGGCCCCCGGTGGGAAAGCAGCTCTGACTGGGTCCTGCTCAGCCACAATGTCCACCTAAGCATGTCACCTTGGCTGATGGGCCTCAGGAACTTCACCTGGAAAATGAAGGGCTGGACTATATCTTTAAAATCTCATCCAATGTGAATACTTTTATTCTGCAATGACAGCTTTTGCCTTCATAGTGACCAGCCTGAAACGAAGGTGGGGTTCTCTGGGAGCATGAAATAAGAACTTCGTTGCCTGCCCCTGTGACTAAGGGGCCAGAAGTGACACAAGCCAACAAACTAACCCCTGCTGTGAATCATGATAATTATAATCATAGGAGTTAACATAACACTTTGTGGATTCACTCAATGTGTCCTCAGAACCCCAATAAGGTAGAAATAACTATTGGCTCCTTTTACAAGTGAGGAAGAGGAGGGCAGAGAGTGGGGGTTAAACCGGCGGCCCTGCTTCAGGCCTCTTACTCTCTGCACCAGCGCCTAGCACAAAGGGCGAGGGGACCGATGGAGGACCCGGGCTGTCCGTGGCATGCAGCACATTTGCTCTGCCAGAGCTTTTCCTTAGAGGGTTCTGGCTCATCTCACTCCTGTTTGGTGTCTGCGGACACTGAAGTCCAGAAACTGAAAGGGTCACACAGCGAGCAAGCAACAGAGCTGCACCTGGACTTCCCCCTGACACGTCTTCAAGGCACAGGTACACGAACTCCCTGTCCCAGGCCAAGTCCCTGTTCCAATGGGGCCAGGCCTAACTGGCCACTAACGTCCCTCTCCCTCAGGGTCAATGCCAGGAACTAGGTTACCCTTCTCAAGAGCATATGACCGAGACCTGGTCATTCTCAGCAGAGTGTCCAGGGCAGGAAGGGAATCTGGGCTGTGGTCTGGGTGGATGAGCCCAGTACCTCCAACCAAAGCAGTTTCCCAACCCTTGGAGGTGAGTATAACACATCAGTCACACTGGTAACAAGGGAAGAGGAAGCTACAAAAACATTTGTGGTTGGGCGGGAGGGGGCACAGGTTGTGTGTCTGTGTGTATCTACAGCTGATCTCTAATGGTGACTAATTCGACCTGATGGCTCACTGGGACTGATTCACAATGTTTTACACCCTCAGCCTCTCACTTCCCGTACACACATATAGACCTTCAAGGACTTCGCTTTGCAATGAAACCAACTTTCAGGTCTATCAAAATAGTTCTGCTTTCCCTAGAAAATCAGTGAAAGACTTAAAAAGAAGTTCTATGGGAAGCATATTCCAGTGGTTGACCCCATGCCACAGATGAGCAGACAAAGTTTGAGTTTGAAAAAGGAATGCCAGCTCCCTGTTCTGTCACCTGGCCCACCCACCAGACCCCCTTGAGCGTCCATGTAGGGCACGGAGTGCTTCTGGACCAGAGCCCTGCAAACCCAAACTGAGGAACACCCAGCATCCACCCTGTAAACTCAGAAAAGGGAAACGTGGTAAACGTGGCAAAAGATCCTCAGGGCTTTTCCCTGATTCTAAGATGCATGGTTTCTGAAGTGATTCTTAGCTGTCCATTTAGAATAAGTGTGTTTATTTCATGTGGTAGTATTTCTCTTTCCAAAAAGTCTATTACTGAACCAGTGACACATCTTACAGGTGACCTCCTTAAAAATCAAGAGAACACCGTCACTCAGACTCTGCTTATGTAGAGGTTGTTGTTCTGACCACGACTTCCCCCTTCTGGCTAGTAAATCCTGAAGCTTCGGGTGTGTTCAGTGCAAGAGACAGCAGAGGATGGCCTCCACTAGGGTCCCAGACCACATGGTTCTCGGCCAGCCCAGGGGGCCTGTGTCAGGGCCAACACACATGCCTGCTTTCAGAGACTGCAGCCTCGGGCCAGTGGCCCAGGAACAAACAGGCTGGCCATCTGCAGGATCCATTAACTCCTGGATGGATCCTCCCTCCCCAAAGAGGGACAAGAGCCTGAAGAAATGACAGCTCCAGTTTCCGAGGCAGACGCTGCATGGGGGAAAGCACTAGGCCAGAAATTGAGACCAGGGTCCTGCCCCTCTTCACCTTGACTGTGTGACCTTGGCCAACTTACTTAGCTTCTCTAGGCCTCAGTTTCTCTGCGGACGAAGCAAAAACAGTTGCACAAACTCTACTTCACCGTACATAGTGACAGTTAAATGAAGTCAAAACAGTAAGATAAGTGGAAAAAACAGAAGTGGTTATAAAAACTCAAAAGGAGTATTCCCTGATATCAATCCCTCCCGCCTCCTGCCCTGTGCAGAGAAGGGAGGACCCAAATGACTCACCAGTGGCTCTATTGTGCTGAGGTCTTTAATTTTGTTGCCACTTAAATTTAGATGCGTGAGGTTCGGACACTTTTCTGCCAATACTTCCAGGCCCCCTGAGATTCTGTTATCGCTTAGTTCAAGCTAAACAAGGCAGAGAGGAAAAAGCAGAAACAACTCTTAAAATGAAGGCTCTAGGCTCAGAGCCTCCTGGCTCCCGGCAGACAACCGGGAAGGGAAAGTCGTCTGTGAAACCTTCGTTCTTTCTCGGAATCTTTGGGTGTGTCAGGCAGGGGTCTGGTTTCACGCTCGATTAAGTCCCCTGAACTGGGTGATGACCCTTCCTCCTCCCCACCCCACCTCCCTGCTTGAGAGTACACACACCTACATTCTACTTACCTTCTTAAGTTTGTTTAACTTTGGTAAATTTGCGACTGAGGTGAGGCCTACATTGATTGTACTTAAGAACTCCAGTTCTTCAAATTCATCTGTGAGGCCTTCGATTTTGCCTTCATTAGACCGACAGTTGTCCAGGACAAGCTCTTTCACCTGGAAAGGGAAGGACTGTGTGAGTGGAGGTAAGGAATGGGGCTGAGGTGTGGGCAGGGTATTAGGCCTCCTTTGAGGATAGACACAACCGGGAAGCAGTCCATCCTACACAAGAATAGCACTTCTGGAGTACCACACTGCACCTGCCCACCCTTGTCTTTCTGCCCGGGGGGTGGGGGGGGTTGGAGGGTGGGGGTGGGGGTGTTAGGTTGACATTAGCAGAGCTGCAGAACCGGGGGCTTCTCCAGATAGGAGGAGTGGCTGAATTGCCGAAGACAAATTCAGTAAGCCCTGCCCCCAACCCACTGGCAAGGTTGGTGGTCTCATTCAATACCAAAGCCTCCAGATCCTAGCTCTACTGTTGTTGGGGGTGTCCACGCCTCACCACAAGCCCATCAAGGCCCCAGACTCACCCCGTCCCGAAGCCAGCTCCCTACTTCCCCTCCTCAGCCCCCATGGTTCCTTCACCTCCATGTCTGTGACCTTCTTTCTGCTGGCGCATCTCTCCCTCGCTTGCTCTCACCCCGCTCTTGACACCAGTCAAAACCTGCCCCCCCCGGCCTGGAATTTGTCACCATGGCCACTGCTTGGCCTACCCCAGGGTAGGGAGAGCCAAACAGGGCTCCTCCAACTCTCTCTTCACTAGACCAGTGTTGTCCCGTACAACTTCCTGCGATGACAGAAACCTCTGCACAGCCCAAGAGGGGATCCGCGAGCCACGTGTCCCCACTGAGCACCTGCAGGGTGGCTGGTGAGACCGAGGAACTGCACTTTAAATCGTAATAGTTTTAATTAAGGTAACTGTCAAGAGTCACATGTAGGCTACCACATCAACTGTCACGGCTCTCGACTCAGCCCTTCCCGGGTCCTGAGTGGATGTGGAAGGAGAGAATAGAAATCCACGAATCAGGATGGACTCATAATAAATGCCGAGGTCGACAAAGTCCAAAAAGTTGGTCTTTGGTGGCACCTCTGTGGCTCTGTCCCCCGCCCAACTCTCTGGAGGCAGTTCACCTTATTAGGGTCCTCAGATTCTCCTCTCTTGGGCTCCAAATCCTTTATTTCTAATGAAATAGAAAGAACTGACAAAAAGCTACCCTCTTGTTAGGTTTTTAGAAGGTAGACTTGGCTAAAGGTGGGATGCCAGGCTTCTGTACAGAGGAGCTCATGAAGTGTAACCATGTCTCAGGCCTAAACTGACCCAGGGAGTCAACCAGGGAGGCCAGGGCCCTGGCTGGTCCTCCGGGAAGGCACCCAGAGTTCCCCACTCCTGTCCCTGAGCAACCGGCAGGCACCTTAAGGGGGTTCCCTCTTGGCCACACCTGGTGCTTGACACAGCATTCCCTGCCTGCTCCTTGCAACCTCCGGGAAACATGTGCCACTACTGCCTGGACATGCTGGTTCCTGGGACTTCTACCCAGAGGCTCTCATTCTCACCCTCGGGTCGCACAGTGCACGTCTTTCTCAGTAGCAGTCCCACAGTGTTCGAAAGATCATTCCTGCCCCTCAGAGCCTTTCCTTCTCAGAGAGAAGCAGGCAGTCCTTCTAACCTGTCCCAGTCCAGGGCTGCCCTGACCCCTTCCTGGAGGAGGCCAACTGGCTTAGTTTTCCCCTGTGCGGCCCAGGATGACCATCTTGCTACCATCCTCCAGGTGCCCCCCTACCCACTGGGGGCATCTTTGGGTTAAATGCCAACTTGAAGGAACAGAACAGAACCCACTGCAGGCCTGTGGGGTGCAGGGCACATCTGGGACCCAGCGGCCTGCAGCTCAGCACAGGACAGTGGCAATTTGAAAGGAGGGGCAAAGCCAGGCAGGGCATTACTTTCTCACAGCTAGGGAGCTCTGGGCCCAGGTGCTGGCGCCAAGGCCCACCTCTCCTTGGTCCTTTCCTGTCTTTTCCCACTCTCTCAGTCCCCAGGAAAGGCCAGTTGTCCAGCAAGCCACCTTCTCAAAGTCAGTGGCAAGAATTTCTGGGAATAAATCCTACCCTAGGGCAGGAAATCAGTGCAGAGCCAGGAAGCCAGGCCTCAGGGGAGCAGAGCAGAGGGAGGGTGATCAACGGTACTGGGGGAGGGAGGACCCTCCTTCAGTCTGCAATGAGCCCGGGAGACACAGGCCCACTGTTTTTTTGTTGTTGTTGTTGTTGTTGTTTTGTTTTTTTAAGTTACTATTTCCTTGCACAAGGCCCTGAGAGCTCTTTAAGCCCCACCAAAGAAAGGCAAATATGAGAAGGGATTCCAATTCAGGTACCCTCAAAGATTTCAGACAGCGGTTTTTCTAACAGGGTCAAGGGTTTCTCCTTCCATGGCCATTAGTCCAGGAGAAGGCCCCAGAGATGGGGGGAGGTGGTGCCGGAGAGTCAAGGGAATTCCTCCCAGAAGTCGACCTCTTTCCCAGAGCAGCACAATGTTGCCTGGGAATTCTAGACAGAGATGTCAGTTCTAGCACCACACCCAGACAGGTGGCCCTCCCTCTCACGACCAGTATGCAAGTAACTACCACTACTACTACTACTACTACTACTACTACTACTATTTAGTAATAATCACAGGATCTTTCTTGAGCCCTCAGCAGGCACACTCTGCCGTGCTTCACTCACAATGGCTCAGCTACCCCTCCCAACGTCTCCCTGGGCCATTCTGCCATCTTACAGCCACATCAGAACCACCTACCTATCCTCGAGTGCCAGGAGTGGTCGTAGCAGGGTGTCCCCTAGACCAAGGTGGTCAGTGGTGGCTCCTGATGAGCTCTCTGACATTCCCAAATGTAGGGCATAGGCTTCCCCAGACCCCCAACTCAACCAGACAAGCTGCCCTAACAGCCATCTGCTCCCCTGTAGCCCTGCCAGCCAGCGGGGGCCTCTCCCAGCAGTCCGCACCCTGGTTACACTTCCTCCGTAACCTAAGCACAAAACCCGACCCAGCCCTCGAGCAGACAAGGCTGAAGTCAGGGAGAACAGATGTGGAGATCTCCTCAAGGAGCAAGGGGCTGCTTCCCATCACTGGGAAGGGGAGCCTGTGGTGCTATCTGTGGGGCCTCCAAGGTCCCCAGGTTTCTGCGGTTCCTTCCTGGCAGGAATTCAGCACTGTCTGGGGTGAGATGCAAGAGAAGGGGTGAGGTCCAGGCTGAGACCCCAGGTTGATAGTATCACCAAGAAGCCCAAACCACACTGGGGGAAATCCACTGCTTTTTTGTGGGATTATGTCTCACACTGGGGATGGCAGGTTAGCTGCCAGGGATGTGTCTGAAATGGACCAAACAGGAGAAAACAAAAACACCAGCCCAACAACAGCTGAAGTCATTCTACCTACCCCAGCCTTCAACTTCAGAGCTCCCTAACAGGGACAGGCTACTGGAAGAGATAGGCTACTGTGTTTCACAGCCCCTAAATCGCCCCAATTTCCTTAAATCACTGAACTGTTGCAATTCCAACCTGCTTCCTCCCATCTCTGCTTGGTGACCATGCTCTAAACCCTTCCTTGTGAAGAGAGCATCCCTTTGACAGTTGAGGAGTGTCCTGCGGAAGGGAGGGGAGGGGAGGAGGAAGAAAAGAAGTTTAATGCCCATTTCCTCTGCCAAATCCTGGGTGTGAGCTAAGTATAAAGTTAAAATTAACCTAAAAATTTGTACTTTGGGTTTAGACTCACTCCCAACTGCACTGGCCATTTAAAAATAACTGAATGTGGTTACTCTCTCTAGTCCAACAACTGGGATGACACTGTTTCCATCAGGAGCTCTTCAAATCTCCCCAACGACAAACCTACACAGGATCCTAAGCTTCATGCCTCATGCCAACACCCCAGAGAAGACTGAACATCCACACTCGGCCCCTGGGAGACGGGAGGGGACACAGAAGTTCCCTAGAAGTCAGGCTGCTGGGCTCCAGTATTTCCAGGAAAACCTGTCACCAGGGCAAGAATGCAGCAGCCGCTTCTCACCAATGGGAGCAGAAAGGTCCTTGATCAACACAAACACATTATTATATGAGGAACAACCCACTGGCTATTTCTAAACTATGAAATTGTATCTTTGCAGATAGCACCAATTTGACCATTTTTCCTCTGTGTTCCTAACACTGTCCTGGTCACAGTCAAGTAAGTCACTCACGTAAGCCTGCTCTGCTCCCAAATGGGGCCTCTGGGACAGCGGAGACATTGGACTACTGGGAACAGGGCTCGACTGGAGGCCAAGGACCCGGCTGGCTGGCTGCATGAACCCTGATTCTATCAAGATCTTAGGTTCTGCCTCTGCAGACAAGGGATGGTGCCTGTTTAACCTATAAAATGCAAACTCCAGCCTAGAATAAATTCCTGGCTTCCTGTCACCTGGGGGAGGGGGACTTCAAGTTCCTAAACTGATCTAAGAGGTCTTCCACTATCAACCTCCCCCCACTTCCTCCAATCTCATTGCTCACAGGCCCCTCAATCCTTGCACAAGGGCCTCCTCCCCAAGAGGCCTTCCCTGCATCCAGCTCTGAGCATCCCAGGGCACCAAGGGCAGCTGCTGCATGAATCATTTAATCGTGTATTAAGCATCCGATCCTCCTAGAGGTCAGGGACTGTCCTCCATAATCAGCCTAGTGAGTGGGGAGTAGACACTAGAGCAACTACTTAACCAATGTCCCACCTATGGTGCCAGGCTTAAGACTAGGTGCGGAGCATAGAGTGTAAGTCAAATCATCATGAAATCTACAATGTAACTGGCCCAAGACAAGCTGAATGACCTTCTATACCTTCTATAAAGAGCAGCAGCAGCAGTGTTTCTCTGTATGTCTTGTATCCCTGAGATGAGCATAAGTCCCTACGAGGCAGGCCAGCTGTGTGCACTCCTCCTGACCTGACCCAGTGCTCTGCCCACAAGATACCCCTCTCTCCAGACAGGGTGCTCCTGTGACACTGTTCACCTAAGCAGATGCTGAGAGGACAGGAAGGCAGCAGAGAGCAGGAGGTGCGGTGGCTGGCTAGGAGGAGCCAGACAGCTGGTAAACAACTACAGTTC